AAGAGTCTTAATGAGCCCAGGATGTTCTTTTGTTGGAGGGACTGCGGTCGCTGTAGGCTTGTATGCTTTTATGCTAAACAGAGAACTGTAGAAGCTGGTGATGGAGAAGACCAGCTGGGTCACTTATAACCAACTCCCACGCACCTTGGATGTGACTGCTGTCTGCACTGGATTCTCCAGTCTGCTTTTTAATATGTGTTCCACCGTTTCTTTGGGGAGACAGCTCTTCAGCTTAATACATCTTGTGGTCTTTTCTCCAGAAATTTAGCCAAAACCAGCTTTGTATCCTTATTTTGTTACTCCTTCTGTTACCCACGTAACCTCTCTCTGAAGCACCTTCTACTAGTTCTCCTCAAGTTGAAGTTGCCTTGTCTTGACACAGCTCAGAGCTGCACCCACATTCCTAGACCCTTCCTTCCCTTGGCCACTCTTGCTCAGCAAGTGAGCCGGACTTCCCAAAACACCTGCAGGTCAAGTGACACCTTCTGTCACACAGCTTCACCCTTTCCTTTTCAAGAGTCTTTGTCTTATACAGACCCACTAACACCCCTTAGCGTTCTCACTGCCTGCCCCCCAGGTATTATGAGATTATATATACATATAGTCTTTTAGGTTGTTTGTTTTGTTATTTCCCCTCCCGAAAACGCTGGTCTGACCTGGTCTTCCCGCTGCAGTGGCCTGTAGGCACATCTCTCCAGTGTTGTGTGTCTTCCCTGGGGACATGCCTGACCATTTTTGACACACTACCTTCCCCGTGCCCCCATCCTGCCAGGTGTGCCCATGACTGCCTTCATGGACTCCCATGCCGGAAGAGATGCACTGCTGCTGATACAGGCCTTTTGGGAAGCTCTTGGGATGAGCATGAGTGTTTCAAAAACTGGTAACATGAGCTCCCAGCGTTCTTGCACAGTACTCCCCTCCCCTCCATCCAAGGGTGGCTGTGTGTCCTGTCCTCCAAATACCATATGCTGCCTCTTTATGGGATTATCAGTAAGTGTCAAACATGTCATTACATGTTTGCAGTGTGTGTCCTCCTGCGTCAGGAATGACATCCAGCCCTTTGAAAAGTGTCCCTTTTGCTCCAGCCCTGGATCAGAGCTGCCTTGTCTTCCCCTCCCAACAAGGAGGCTGCAGCACTGATTCCCAAGCAGGCTTCCAGCAGCAGCAGGTGTGCCTGAAGCCAGGAGCTGGGCTTTTGCAGCAGACCAAATAGTTCAGAAACCATTGCCTCATGCAGTTTGGTTCACAGGTTTGGGGCTGTCCTCTGCTCTCAGCTTCAGCCTATGTCGAGATTTCCCAGCTGAGGCGCCCCACGTGCTCTGTGGGACAGTAGTACCATTCATGCTGCAGCTCCCCCGACAGTTTTGGAGTAATGGAAGCCAGCTGTCGCTGACCTTAGACAAACAGCTGTTCTTTCTGCTTTGTCTGCAAGAGTAGCGCTTCCCTGAAGGGCTCCGAACCAGTCAGCAGCCGAAGTGAACATTTGTGGGGATGGTTTGCTCCTACCTCTTCAGGGGAACCCTGCAGACACGTGTTCCAAAGAGATCGGTGCTGTCGGCTGCTGCCAAAGGACTGAAGGCTGCTCCCCTCCGAGCAGGTCATCCAACACCTTACCATGTACAGTATTGTCTCCGATGTTTCTTTACATTCTAATCAAGAGTTAAAGTTGCCTTTTTTCTTTTCCAACTCGACTCAATGGTACATGAAGGCAGGGCCTCAGGAGGAGCTGGTTCCCAGGGCCATTGTTTTGGGCTGAAGTTTTTAATTCTGTCTGAAGTTACTGCTTTTTACAATGCACACAGTGTTCCCCGGCACGCTCGCTGCAGTGCACCCCGTGAAGTTTAGCTGCAGCCGACTCAGATCTCCAGGCAGGAGCCTGCAGCCTCCTGGGGGCCTGTCCAGGTACACATTTCACTGCAAATAATGAAGTGTTGCTACATCGATGCTAAAGAAACAAAGGGCTTTTCCTCCTTAGCCCCAAATAACCAAGTGCCTTTTTATATATGTGGCTATCTTTTACAAGACGAGTGCTTTCTGTGGAATGAAGTCGGTTCCGTGCCTGGCCTGTTAATATGATGGCCCTCTGCCTTTCTCTCTTTTTTTTTTTTAACTACTTGTAAAGATAATATCTCCTTAAGGTGGTATTTTATCTCGTAAGTTGTAGAGTAACCATTCACACAGCAGCATTTTCCTATATTAATAATGGAAAATATTTGCTTATTTTTACATTTTTTATAAAAGTCTTTTATGAAAATAGTTGCTGCCAAATGTATAAGCAATTTTTATCCCCAGAATAAAAAGTACGTGCCCAGTGTCTGTGTGCTGCTGCTTTCATTTGTCTTCCTGGCTACCTTACACAGCCACCAGATTATACATGAATCAACAGTGTTCAGTAGCTGTTCAGATTCTGGCAACGGGGGGTTCAATAGTATTTTCACAGTCCATGTCAGGAGACAGCTTTTGGGAATCAGGAATGCTCTCTATCTCAGCAGCACGTGAACCCTGCCACTTAGAACCACCCAAGGGAACTGGAAGCAGCCTGGCTTGGATGTAGCCAACGGATTTGGAGTCTCTTGGCTGGCTGAGAAGAGGGAAGCCAAGCAGCTGGGCATACTGGGAAAGACAGGGCTGGGATGGGACCTTTCTTGGATACTTTGCATAAGAGCTCTCACTTGCCTGTGAGTCTGGGAGGCAAAGAAGGGCTGGGGCATTTGTGTGGCTTTTAGAAAGGTTGTGAGGAAGTGTGGGTCAGGTGGTGATTAGTGGGAGCTATGGATTCATTTGTTCCCTCCAGTCCTGCTTGCTTCCTTCCCTTGGCTGTTTGTTGTTCTTCTAGCAGGGAAGAGGACCCTCGTTGCTGGAGCTGAGGCTGCCTCCCTGGCTTTGTCTCAGCAGAATCCTTTGTCTCATAGAATCCTTAAGGCTGGAAAAGCCCTCTAAGATCAAGTCCAACCATTAATCCAGCACCACCATGTTCACCACTAATCTGTGTCTCCGGGGGCCACATAAAGATGTTTCTTGAATGCTTCCAAGAATGGTGAGTCCACCACTTCCTGGGCAACTTGATCCAATGCCTGACTGCCCTTTCATTGAAGAAATTTTCCCTAATATCCAATCTAAATCTCCCCTGGTGCAGCTTGAGGCCATTTACTCTCAACATAGCACTTTTTACCTGGGAGAAGAGACTGACCTCCACCTGGCTACAGCCTCCTTTTAGGTAGTAGAGAATGATAAGGTTCCCACTGAGTCTCCTTTTCTCCAGACTAGGAGCATGAAGATTTGTGATTCTCCAGCCTCTGAAACAGAGAATCATGACTCCTCTGTCCTGGTCTCAGACTTGAACAGTTTGACTTGGACAGTCAGACAACAAACTGTCAATAGCTGCTGTGCTGCATTTGGAGCATGGAGATGCCACTGAAGCCTTGGGCTCCACTAGTGCTCACCTGGCTGTTTTCCAACTCTTGCTGTGGACTCGGATGGAGCTGGTAGCTAAATTACGATGCCTAGCAGGGGTAAAGCTGCTGGGGGCATTTTAAGGGTTTAATATTCAAACAGCGCAGCTCCTTTATCTTCTGGTAGAGCCAGCTTGGCAAGTCCAAACCTCCGGGAGGCATTCATCCATGTTCTCCCACAGCCTGCACATCTGTGCCAAAGTTTAGCAAGCTCTGCTGAGCCTCTGGCACAGCTGCATCGAGTTTACTGGTGCTCAGGCTGAGACTTGAAGCTGCGACTCCTTGGGAACAGCACATTCCTCTTCCCCAGCCCGGGGTGGCCAGGGGCTTGTGGAAACTTGCTGTATTGCATCCAAACATGCCTCACTGGGCCAGCCAGGCACGGAGCTGGGGCATCACTTATCTAACCGAGAAGTAGAGGAGGAACCTCAGGCTCCTTTGGGGAACTTTTTCACAGTTTTTCATAAATCAAGGGTGGAGCCCTGTTTTCTATGGGGTTATTGTGTTTCTAGAGTTTCCCCATTAGTCAGGACAGCTATTCTCTGGAGGGTTGTTTCTTTCAGAACTGATAGCAGGCAGCAGCTGTGTTTGGACACAGGAAGGCTTTACACCTTTGATCCCAGAGGGTGCCTAGCAAGCAGCAGCAGCTGTATCCTGGCTTTGTGTGTGAAGTAGATGGGTCTGATCCTCCTCCCTCCCTGGGGCAAAAGCCAGACCTGCCTCTGCATGCCAGCATGGAGCTGCTCCCTGTGGGTGCAACAGCATTCACTGTCTGCATATTTCGGCAAATGCTGCCACAGAGGAGATCCCATGGGAGATCCCTAGGGTTCGTGGCTTGATCCTGACAGCAAGCTCTCCATTTTAGGGGAAGCAGGGCTCAGTTCTGTGTCCGGATCCTCTGCAGGTAGCTGCCTCCTGTGTAGCTCCCAGTGGCCTCCTCCAAGGGTTTTGTGGCGGGTTGGGAGAAGGAGAGCCAGGCAGTGGCTGGAGCTGGCAGCAGCAGGGTACTGGGCAGGAGCTGGCAGCTTTGCAGGAGCCATGGAACAGGCAGCAGGATGAGCTTTCAAGGCCACTTTGGTACATTATGAGCCAGCGAAGTGACACTCCAGAGCGGCATGTTTGCAGCAGTAGCATAGAGAACTCCAGGTGCCTCCCACAGGGGCAGAGGACTCCCCGGGGTGAGGAGCAAGGACCATGACAGAGAAGGCTGTGCCTTCCCTCGCCTAAGGGTTCCAGCTGCTGGGGCCGGGGGCAGCCCACCTCTGTGGCTCCATGCCAGCAGCAACCTCCCCAGTGCTGGGGCTGCAGATTCCCCCCGTGGGGCAGGGGCAGTGCGGGGCTGCTGCTCCAGGACCTGCCCCCCCCTCCTGGAGGGACGCAGAGTGACAAAGCCCTGCGTCACCTCTGGGCACGAGGGCTGGGCACCCCCACCGCTATCTGATGGCACCGCCGGCCCCCGGCTGCAGGCTGTTCCCACATCCCGTCGTCCTGCATCCTGCTCACAAACCTCCTCCGGCAGTTCAAACAAGGGCGGTGTGTGGGTGACGCATGGCAGAGCTGGGCAGGGTGTAGGGCCCAGCTGGGTGCCATCCCTCAGCTGGGGACACGGGCAGTGCCAGCGGGTGGTCCCCATGTCCCGACTGCTCACTGCAGGGATGCTCTGGCCGGGATCAGGGGCTCACCCCCAGGGCTCACCCCTGCCAGCCCCTGGCCCAGCCAGGGCTGGGCCAGCAGGCATCCCTGTCAGGTGCCAGGCTGCTCTCAGCCACAAGATTACCTCTGTATCGTGGGATCGATTTATGATAATTGCAGGGGGTTTATTGACCAACTAGGACAGGCTCTTCCTGTCTGTTTCTAGAGATATGTTAAATGCAAACAGAGTTGTAGATCTGGGCAATTTTCCAGCAAAGCGGGGGGGGGGGATGGATGGGAGTCAGCAGTAAGACTTTTATGGTGAGAATCACCTGAGCTGGGCAAACACTGATGCTGATGAGCACCAGGCTATAAAGGGCAGCTCCTCTCTTCTCCTCTCCCAGCGATCCACGACACGCCGTTATTCCTCCGCATCTCCAGATAACAGGTGAGGAAGAGGACTCTCACAAAGCAGCTGAAGCCTTGGGATGGTCACAACTGACTTGGGGGTAAACAGGAGCTGATCCCAGCCCTGACAGCTCCCGAGGACCTGAACTCTGCGCTTTTCTGCATGGGGCAGGCTGCGATGATGCATTTTTCAGCCCTGCATTGACTTTTGTCGCTGATTCTTTGAGGGGAAGACAAAGCTGAGTCTGCAAATTGGCCCCAGTGCCCAGGGATTAGCCCACATAAAGGGGAACTGTGCTGATACAGCTGATTTGTCTCCCCAGCCCGGGCAGGACTATGAGCTCAGGGTGTGAAAATGATGCCGAGCACATAGTCCCTGCAGCCCTATTGGCCGCAGCTCTGCCTGTTGGTGCTGCTGCTGCCCCAGGTCCTCTGCCCCATGCCTGTGGCAGCACTCTCCTCATGTCCCCACAGAGCAGCTTGGCTCACTCAGATGCCTCCTGCCAAGGCTGTGACTGGTGGGGCCAGTGTGGGCTGGGGACCCCGGCCGTGCCTGGGACATGGGATATGGGCACGGGACAGTGACCTGTGCCAGGGAGGAGAGAGGGAGGCACAGACTGCCATCTCCTCCACATGGCTGAAAGGGGCCAGATTCAGCCCACAGGGTGGGTTTGCACTCTCTGGGCACAGGTGGCATCTTCTGTCCCCAAGGGACCTCGTGTGACCCCCCTGAGCCTTTACAGGGATCAAAGAGGATGGTGGCAGCAGCCAGACTCGCCCTCCTGCTGCTGGGCTGCATGGGGCTCCTGCAGCCAGCCGGTAAGTCCCACGGCTCGGGGGACAGCTGCTTTTGTAATGAGGACAGGGGGGAGCCATGCTCCTCTCCAGCCAGCAATGCTGGCTGTCCCCCATCCCTCCCCACTGCTCTCGGTCTGCAGCTGGCAGGTACATAAGCTACTGCCCTAACGGCTGGTCCTACTACAAGCTCAACTGCTTCAAGTACTTCCCTGATGTCCGGACCTGGGACGAGGCTGAGGTAAGCCCACTGGGACACACAGGCAGACAGGGACTCCCTATCTCCTTGAGGTGCCCCAGCACTGACAGCTCTCTCTGCAGAGGCAGTGCCAGGCCATCCAGGACGGTGCTCACCTGGCCTGGGTAGAGGACCGGCACGAGGCCATCACCCTGCAGAAAGCTATCTCCTACCACCAGCGTGTGCAGCCCGTCTGGCTCGGGCTCCACTACAGTGAAGAGGTGAGGCAGGGGCTGCAGGGGTGATCAGGGGCTGGAAGGCCACAGAGCCATGCCTCTGAACCTCCTCTCTCCTCACAGAGCCAGGACTGGAAGTGGACAGGTGGGGAAAAGTACAGCACTGCCAGCGGGCTGCCCGGGAATGGTGCCAGTCCGGGGAAATGCGCCGTGTTGACCCACCAGAGCAGTGAGTGCCCGGATCCCACATCCACATTCAGTGCCTGCTCTTGGCTGGCATTCCCCCCCTCCCTCCTCCTCTGGGTCCTAGCCCTCTGGGGGGGCTGTAGTTGGCAGAGCTGGTGCCCCTGTTCTAACCGTGGCCCCCACCAACCCCTGGCCCATCTCTCCAACAGGCTTCAGTCTGTGGTCCAGCGCCAACTGCACTCAGAAGCATCACTACATCTGCAAGTTCACCCCCTTGCACTGAGCACAGCCTTTGGCCCGTGGGGGACCCCATGCCAGCGATGTTCCTCCTGTGCCACCTCTGCTTCTCTCCACACAATTCCTAAAAATACATCTATAAAAATGGAGCATGCAAGTGCTGCGTGAGCTTGGTGCTGGTGCAAAGCCCTGGGCTGGTCCGGGAGGGAGGGAGGCAGGTGCTTCCATGGCTCTCCCAGCTTTCCTGCTTCCAGGGGCTTCAGCACTGCTGGTGCTGGCAGAGCTGTTTGGGGATCAGTCCCCAGGAGCTGCAGGGCCAGTGGCTCTCCTGGCTGAGTGCTCATGTTTGCTCATCCCCAGCCCCCTGGTGCCAAACGACAGGTGTCCCTGGGGAGCAGGTGAGGGGACAGGAGTGTCCCCAGGGTGCAGATATGGAGACCTGGGGCACAGAAGTGGGTGGGGATCAGAGCCGTCGTGGGTGTGCAGGCACGGGGACAGAGCTCCCACGGGTGCAGACAGCTCCACAGGGATCTGGGGGCTGCGACGCTGCCCCATGGCCATGTCGACAGCACCACCGGGACCAAAGGTCCCTTCTTGTGTCACTATAACGTTGCCACAGGCATCACGTGGCTGTTTGCTCTGCTGCTTTGAAGATGGCTCTGCCCCCACCCAGCTCAGAGGGTTTTCACCCCCCGGAGCCGCGGCACGTGTCAAACGTGGACTGCGCCCTGGGCAGCACGGATAGTGCCAGCACCAAAGACCTGGCCGCCCTCTGCTCCCTCCCAGGACCTCGGGGGCAATCGGGGAGGCCACACAGCGCCGCGCTCGCTGCTCAGTGACCACAGCTGTGCCGGCGAGCCGTGGGCACCGGAGCTGCCCCCGCCGGGGCTGCGGAAGAGCCGGTCCCGCGGCTCAGCCCCGGCTCCAGCCGAGTGCGTCCCCGGGCTTTGGGGCACAGGATGGAGACATCTCACAAGCTCCCCCCTCCGAAGCCCCGCTGCCCCTGCTGTGTTGGCTGGCGCTCGGCGACCTTTGAGCGCCAGTGTCCGGCACGCTGATAAAGGCCGGGAGGGCTGTGCCGAGCTGCCCACGCAGTTTATAAAAGCACCACGCAGGGCCCGTCCCGCTTTCCCTCTGTCCCGCCGCTCGTCCTTCCGTCCGTGCAGCGGTCGGGGCGAAGATGTTGCGCTTGGTGGGCCGTGCCGCGCGCTGCTGGGGGGCCAGGTGGGCACCACCAGGGCCAGAACAGGCACCCCGGGGGGCCCAGCACCCCGTGGCCTTGCAAAGGGCATGGTGAGCATCCACATGGATCGGGCGGGCAGGACACGTAGCCAGGGCAGGGGTGGGGAGCTGTCTGAGCTCTTAAACCTTGCTGGGGAAGGGGATCCTCTCCCTCCTCCCTGGCAGCGCTGCCAGGCACAGGGAACTAGTAGGGATTTGGGGTGCTCCCAACCTGGGCTGCTCGCTGGTGGCATCTCCCCAGGACCACCCCCGTGTTCCCAATGCTCGGGGCTACCACGGGACTGCCACCACTCCCTCTGCCCCACAGCCTCTCCAGTGCTGCCGGGACGGGTGCCTGGCCCAAGGATGTGGGCATCCTCGCACTGGAGGTGTACTTCCCTGCCCAGTACGTGGAGCAGGAGGAGCTGGAGCGATATGATGGTGTGGAGGCTGGCAAGTACACGCGGGGCTTGGGCCAGAAGCAGATGGGCTTCTGTGCTGCCCATGAGGACATCAACTCCCTGTGCCTGACGGTGGTGCAGCGGCTGGTGGAGCGTGGGCGCCTCTCCTGGGATGCCATCGGCCGCCTGGAGGTGGGCACCGAGACCGTCATTGACAAGTCCAAGGCTGTCAAGACTGTCCTCATGCAACTGTTCCGTGACTCGGGCAACACTGACGTGGAAGGCATCGACACCACCAACGCCTGCTATGGGGGCACGGCCTCGCTCTTCAACGCGGCTGCCTGGGTGGAGTCCAGTGCCTGGGATGGTGAGTGCAGGCAGGGACTGTGGCATGGGGCTGGATGCTGGGTGGGTGCCATGGAATAGGGGGAGGAGGCAGGAGGGGGCCTGAAACCCATAGATACTCTGGCAGGCTTCAAAGGAAGCTGCTGCCCCTCCAGGCTCTCCATCACCCCCGTTTCTTGCTTACCTTGGCTGTGACACCTGGCATCATGGAAATGGGAATACACGAGGGCAATGGTGTCGAGGCTTCCGCCTGTCGATGGCCCTGCCAGTCCCTGTCTCCTCCCCAGGTCGTTACGCCGTGGTGGTGTGTGGGGACATTGCCGTCTACGCCACGGGGAACGCGCGGCCCACGGGAGGTGCCGGTGCCATCGCCATGCTGGTGGGACCCAATGCCCCACTGGTGCTGGAGAGAGGTCAGTGTGTCTTGAGACCCTGGGGATGGCAAGCTGATGAGTGCTGTCCCCAGAGGTCATGCATTCATGTCCCAGGCCTGGGCAGAGCTGCTCAGCTCCAGCAGCACTGGATCTGCCAGACCCTGCTGGGTACTCCAGGATGCCTGGCTAGCCACATCCCTGTGGGAGGCTGGTGGATGTCAGAACTGGCACAGCAGGCAGCACCCCTGGGTGCTTCTGATTGGGCTCCCTGATGGCGGGCTCTCCCTGTGCCCCCAGGCCTGCGGGGAACCCACATGGAGCATGCCTATGACTTCTACAAGCCGGACCTGTCCTCCGAGTACCCGGTGGTGGATGGGCAGCTCTCCATCCAGTGCTACCTGCGGGCGCTGGACCGCTGCTACGCCGTGTACCGACGGAAGGCGGAGAGCCAGTGGCAGCAGGGTAAGTGGCAGCACCCCTAAGGTGCCCATCCCATCCCCCTGGATGCTGATGGACCCATGTTGCCTTCCAGCCGGCATCCAGAGGCCCTTCACCCTCGATGACTTCAAGTACATCATCTTCCACACACCCTTCTGCAAGCTGGTGCAGAAGTCTGTGGGGCGACTGCTGCTGAATGATTTCTTGGCCTCCCCCAACCCTGACACAGCCTCCGGTCTCTACAAGGGGCTGCAGTCTTTTCGGTGGGTCCCTGTGCCGTGTCCCCCACCCCTCAGCCCAGGCAGGGATGTGCCAGTGCAAGGTTTGAGCCAGCCTCTCTCTGGGTAGTGGTTTAAAGCTGGAGGACACCTACACCAGCAAGGATGTGGAAAAGGCATTCCAGACAGCCAGCCAGGACATATTCAACCAGAAGACCAAGCCCTCCCTGCTCCTCTCCTCCCGCAACGGCAACATGTACACACCATCCATGTATGGCTGCCTGGCCTCCCTCCTGTCACAGTAAGTCCCCCAAAATGCTGGCTCAGGGGAGGGAGGAGGTCATTTTGGAAGGGCGGGCAGACCCTGGCTGGCTGGAGGGGGAGGTGCCAGCACTCATATTCCCCCCTTCTCAGCAGAGACCTGACAATTTCAGTGCACACAACCCCCAGCATGGATGCATCCCACTCCGTGCCATCTCCCTGCCAGCCTTTTCATCCCAGCTTGCTGGAGCTGGGCCAGTACATAAAGCCCTTCTGTCATTGCCAGGAGGATGAAAACCCCGTTGTCATGACCTGCAGAATGAGTGACCCCACGGGAAGGGAGCCATGGGAACAGACAGGCCCTGGGGGGAACAAAAGCCTAGTCCCTGGCACCACTGCACTCCAGGGCCACACTCCCTTGGAAATGTGGCCCTGAGACACAAGGACCCCCCTGTCTGGGAAGGAGGCAGCCCCCTACACTATCCCCTCACGCCAATCTCCTCTAACCCTTCTAACCCCCTGCTCCAGGTCCTCAGCCAAGGACCTGGCTGGCTCCCGCATTGGTGCCTTCTCCTATGGCTCGGGACTGGCTGCCAGCATGTTCTCCTTCCGTGTCTCACAGGATGCAGCCCCAGGTGAGCCCCAGGGGAGGGAAGGACTGGGAAGGGAGGGTGGTGTGGGGCTGTGGGGCCCAGGGCTGCCAGTAGTGCCATCTGACTCGTGGGGTGCCCGTTGCCAGGCTCGCCCCTGGACAAGCTGGTCTCCAGCCTGGCTGACCTGCCGGCTCGCCTGGACGCTCGCAAGCGGGTGGCCCCACAGGACTTTGCGGAGATCATGAAGCGACGGGAGGAAACCCACCATTTGGGTGAGTGGGGCTGGGGGGATGTGACACCCCCCCACTGGGACCCCATGACATCCCTGAGCATCACTGCCCTCTCCCTGCAGCCGACCACGCTCCCCACGGCTCTCAGGCAGATCTCTTCCCCGGAACCTGGTACCTGACGCGCGTGGATTCCAAGTACCGCCGCGAATATGCCAGGAAGCCCATCTAGAGGGGACTGGAGGGGTGAGCCCTAGGATGGGGGATGCTCTTTTTACCACTGTCATCCCTGCTCATCTCCAAATCCGGGGCTGCCTTCTGTGGGAAACGTCAGCTTGGACGACTGGGGAATGTCCAGTGGTGCCTCGGGCCCCAGAGCTGGTGGAGGCTGCGGCTCTTCTGCAAACACCTGGGCAGTGCAGGGGAATAAAGGTGTGGATAGGAGGGGGCAGCAGCTCGGCTCTAGCTCCTGATCTTGAGTGGTCTCCTCCCACCCCTGGACACTCCTCTTAAAAACTGTGGATCTGGATCGCAGCCCCTTACAGGATTTATCCCACGGGCACCCAGCATTGGCCACCTGCCCCATTAGACATGTGGCTCAATAACCCCCATTATCCCAGGATGGGAGTGGGCCCTGACATTTTGGGGGAGCCAAGTAAAACCCAGCCTCCCAGTCTCCAGATTGGGGGTGGTAAGAATCCATTTTCCCTGTGAGGTCACTAAAGTAAAACATCCTCATGGCAAACCCCAGGGGCAGGAGGGGGCAGGCGACGCAGGGGCTCACGGGAGGGCTCATCCCTCTTCCAGCACTGCTCTCTGGGCCACGTCCTGGCACGGGACTATGGCCAGATGGGACCTCTGCAGTGGCAGAGACCTTTGCACCCTTCAGCAAACAGCAGCAGGGTTGGGGAGTGGTGAGGGCAGGAGGGAGGGGATTTGGAGTTGAGGACAAGGGACCACACAGACAATGTATCACATGCTCTCTCCTTCTAGACCCTTT